TACTCAAGAATCCCCTGAGAAACTTTTTAAAAGATAAAAAATAATCAATTACAGTGTTCCGAGATTAAAAATGCAATGGTGCCAGACAGGATTTCCAACCCTGGACCTTCGATAACAATACAGTCCCTATAACAATTAGTGAGCCACGTCGTTGATCAGCAGCAGCAGGTCCCTGGCCCAGTTGTTAAAGGGAGATAACTGTAAGTATGAAAATGTGCCTGAAGTGGGACATGGCTCCTTAACAGCCAGGAGAATGAAAATCTCTACCTTTTCCTTTACCTAGTGTTAAAGCTAGGAATACTTTACTAATTTACCTTAACCCTTTCACCCCTATGTAACTTGAGTGAACTCTACCATGCATTAATCTGGAAGAGTCCATTATGGTCTACAGTGGTGAAAGGGTTAAATGTGCTCCAGTAATGGTCTATGACAGTAATTAATTTTATCTATAGGGTTGGAAGTAGTGAAATCCAGGGTTTCTTCACCCCATGTTATAGCCTTGTATTCTTGTGTAAAGGTGCTCTGGTAAAGGCATTCTGTGACTTGATTAACCTACAAAATGTTATGTAAAGTCAATTGTTTTAGTTCAGTTTTCCGTTTTTAAGATATGCAGATATAAATTTAAAAGAGTTATTTTGTGATTTTTATATATATCCATGGGTGGTCATGTTGCATCCCAAAATATGTATATACTTTTTTTTCTACTGTCCTGGTCACAGTTAAAAAGGTCGAGAGTTGTGAACCATTACGTTAATTAGCGTTCTGTTGATAGCATTTATAGCACACTCCCAATTTTACCTGCTTGTATACACACAGGTGTGTCTGCTCTAGCACGTTCTTTAACCAGAACTAAATGTGTCTGACCTATGTATTGATTACAGAAACCCAAATACTTAATATTCACAGACAGGTCTGCCATTTGATAATAATACATTAATTGCTGGGTATAGAAGGATACTCAAGACTCAGTGGACTTACCTCAGATTTACCTGTCCAGAGGGATGTTCAATTGCCTAAATTAAGATTTACCTGTCTAGAGAGATATTCAGTTGACATAGCTGAGATTTGCCTGTCCAGAGAAATCCTTCTCAGTTGACATAGTTGAGATTTACCTGTCTAGAGAGATATTCAGTTGACAGGGTTGAGATTTACCTGTCCAAAGAAATCCTTCTCAGTTGACATAGTTGAGTTTTACCTGTCCAAAGAAATCTTTCTCAGTTGACATAGTTGAGTTTTACCTGTCTAGAGAGATATTCAGTTGACATAGTTGAGATTTACCTGTCCAAAGAAATCCTTCTCATTTGACATAGTTGAGTTTTACCTGTCTAGAGAGATATTCAGTTGACATAGTTGAGATTTACCTGTCCAGAGAGATGTTCAATTGATTTTTCAGATTTACCTTTCCAGAGAAATCCTTCTCAGTTGACATAGTTGAGATTTACCTGTCCAAAGAAATCCTTCTCATTTGACATAGTTGAGATTTACCTGTGTAGAGAGATATTCAGTTGACATAGTTGAGATTTACCTGTCTAGAGAGATATTCAGTTGACATAGTTGAGATTTACCTGTCTAGAAAGATATTCAGTTGACATAGTTGAGATTTACCTTTCGAGAGATATCCTTCTCAGTTGACATAGTTGAGATTTACCTTTCCAGAGAAATCCTTCTCAGTTTACTTAGTTGTGATTTACCTGTCCAGAGATATCCTTCTCAGTTGACATAGTTGAGATTTACCTGTCCAGAGAGATGTTCAATTGATTTTTGAGATTTACCTTTCCAGAGAAATCCTTCTCAGTTGACATAGTTGAGATTTACCTTTCCAGAGAAATCCTTCTCAGTTTACTTAGTTGAGTTTTACCTGTCCAGAGAGATGTTCAATTGACTAAGTTAAGGTTTACCTGTCTAAAGAGATGTTCAGTTGACTTACTTGAAATTTACCCTTCCAAAAAGGTGTTCAATTTATTTACCTGAGATATACCTGTCCAGAGAGGTCATCCTCAATTGACTAAGTTGAGACTACCTGTCCAGGGTTATTAATTCAGCTAAGTGATACACATGATTAAAGAGATATGCCCTGCCTAAATATTTACCTGCAAAGAGAGATATTCAATTGACTTAGAGCTTTACCTGTTTAGACATTCAATTGACTTAGAGCTTTACCTGTTTAGATATTCAATTGACTTAGAGCTTTACCTGTTTAGATATTCAATTGAATAAAATATTAACCAACCTGTTTTGATATTCAGTTGACTAAAAGATGTACCTGTTCAGATATTCAATTGACTGAAATATTTACCTGTTCAGATATTCAATTGACTGAGATATATACCTGTTTAATTATTAAATTGACTAAGAGGTTAACCTGTTTAGATATTCAATTGAGTGAAAGATTTACCTTTTTACGTATTCAATTGACTGAAAGATTTACATTTTTATATATTCAATTGATTAAGTGATTTATATTACCTGTTAAGATATTCAATTGACTGAGATATTTACCTGTTTAGATATTCAATTGACTGAGATATTTACCTGATTAGATATTCAATTAACTGAAATATTTACCTGTTTAGATATTCAGTTGACTAAGAGATTTACTTGTTTAGATATCCAATTGACAAAGAGATTTGGCTGTCTAGAAAAATATAAAATAGGCTTGAAATTTACCTGCCTATAGAAATGCTCTATTCACGTAGAGATTTACCTGACAAGAGAGGTATTCAATGAATTGACAGTGATTTTAAATTATTGGAATTTACCTGTATGTCAATGCCCCTTGAGGTTTAAGTGAAATGACTGGTGTAGATTACAAGGACAGAAAGGAAGTAAGCTTGATTGATTGATCCATTGATTGATTGATTGATTGATTGATTGATGGAGCTTAATGCCTTTGTTCCGGTTGTTACTGAACCTAGGATTATAATGGGATATTAGCATGTGATCAAGGCTTTATAATTGTTTGAAAAGCGTTCATTTCAAACTATTAGGATTTCTTATATGTGTAAGCTGGTATGTTTGTGTCTGTATTTGTAATTAAAATCAAATCATTGTATAAAATATTGGAGGATTTTATTTAATGCAGATATCTGGTACTCTCAGTATTTAACACACCTTGTGGTACATTGTGGTTGGTTTGTTGGAATCATTTTTGATTAGGGAGATCATTCAATCCAAGAAAACAATTTGTGATGCCATCTGTATTTGTGACCAAACATACCAGATGCTTGAATAATTTCATATTATGCCCCACCTCCATTAAATTGGGGGAGGGGGTGTAATAAGATGTTTTCTTATGAAGATATCAATATTTGAATACAGTAAACGGGGTGCGGGCCAGCAATTAAATGGAACAGAGGTGCGGGCCGAGCAATTGAATTCGAACAGAAGTGGTCATGCCACTCTGTGGTACTTGGACTTGACGAGGTTGTACTGCAAACATTCAAACCTTGGTATGTGAATTTTGATGGGAGAAGTTTGACAGAGACATACAGACTTGAAAATGAAAAAAAAGATGATAAAATATCTATAATGTATTGAAATAAACATAAAAAAGGATAGGAGTTAATGATGAAAAGGTAGAATTTAGAAATGCAAATATTTTACAATGTGATAAGGAAAACATTTGTTATTGGACATTTTTTAACTTCTGTCACCTCTTGTAAAGAATTTTGGCACAGGATCTTGGTTACAAAACCTTTTCTGCACCTACTCCAATCACTGTTCAGTACACATTAGAAATTAATGAGAATAGGTATAGTGTATACAAACAAGCACATTCCAGGGACATGTAGCCCTATGTTCCTGGTGTATTGAATCAGCCTGCAGATTTGATATACTACAATTCATTTAGTAAGGTCAGGATGCTAGACATTGTATTTTTCCTAGCCCAGCCAATCCCGTTATTGATTTTGTCCATATTTACTACCCTGACCCCCAATCACTTACGTAAGGTTACGCTGTGGCTGTTTTACGTTGTAACCAGGTACAATGTTATTAACTCATTTACCCCTAAGGACACATTTGAACTCTTCCATTTCAAAGGTTGGGATAGTTCATTATGAAATTTCAGGGGTGAATGAGTTAAACAAACATGTATAAGCGAATGCAGTTTATTATAACCTGTTTGTGAGGATTAGAAATTCTGTTCAGCTCGATTCTTTTTACATATTTACATAACTATTGTCTGAGGTGAATGGCCATCCTTTCCTTTGTTAAATCTAAACTACCTCAAAATAACCTGCTTCCATATTGATTCACCTTTCTAGTAGTTCTGAACTGGTAAGACAATTACATTTTCGGACCATTACCACTGTATTTGTTATTCTTATTTATTGTTTATGATATTTACATACTGTTATGCTACTAAAAGCGTAACACTACTTTAATCCAGTCTATTTTGAGTCGATATATTTACTGCTACTGGCTATGATGGATTTTTGTACCTAAAGTTTCTGCATAAAGGATTCTGTGAGATAACTCGTGAAGGAATGATAGAATACTTTGACTTTACCAAACTTCCTACCAATACTTAAACATGTATTATCAATTTTCCTTTCAAATTTGATTTCCAAATTATCAAATTATTCAATATGGTTGAAGGTTGCCAGTGGCCATCTTGGATTTTGTACAGATGTCTATCTTGTCATAGTTTGATGAAACTTGTTTTGTGTTCTTAATACTAAATTCCCTCACTCAAATCTGATTCTCTGCCAAATTTGTGCTTAATTAATAAGGCTGTTGATGTCTTCCCTTCTGCGCCAAATCCACCTGGACTACTTCTTAACTGTTGCCAGTCATTTTACATGTATGTGTCTTTCATTCAGTCTCTTCCCTGGTCACCAATTGATGTCATTGACATTGTGTATAGGTTTGTCTAAGTTGGTCAATAGAAAATTGATAGTGTCATATTTTGAATAAACAAATTTTAAAACTGACTTTTTAATTTAGAAATGAGCTATGCAAAAGTGATACTGTTTTAAAATTGATTTTCATTTTTTCAGAAAACAGCGTAGAACCTCCTGTACTTGCTGAGGACGAGCAAGGTGTAAAATCTGATTCACAAGCAGAGGACAACAAAGGAGACTCAGTCATAGCAACAACAGGGGACAAACCAGAAGAAAACATGGACACAGAAACACCGAAAGACGATAATGAAGGCCAGCAGACCACTCAACAGGAAGCATCAGAGAATGTTCCCACTGGAGACGAAGCACAGCAGGAAAAAACAGAGGAGAAATCTGAGGAAAAATCTGAGGAGAAAACCGATGTGAGTGATGAAAAGGAAGAAAAGTCTGAACAGGAAAGTGAAACAAAAACTGAGGAACAAAAAGATGAAGAAGCAAAGGTAACATCTGATGATACTCCAACTGATCCTTCAGCTGCTGCTGCTGCTGGGGTCACAGAAACAGTAAATGATGTTCAGAATGAGGAGGTTATCAAGCAAGAGGAGGAACAGACTGAGGCTAAAGGTGAGGAGGAGGCAAAGACAGAAGAGGACACAGCAAAAACGGAGGAAGAGCTAAACAAAGAAAAGGAGGAAGAGAAGCAGCAACAGCAAGAATCCATGTTAATGAATCAGAACGCAGAGAAAGAAGCATTCCAGCAGCTAATGGACCAGAATGTGAAACTAGAGGCAGAATTTAACAAAATGAAAAATCAATTTGATGAGGTTAAAAACAAATATGAATCAATGGAATCTAAAGTGACTGAAGTTAGCCAAGAAAATGATGAAAAGCGGCTATATATCAATAAACTAGAGGAAGATATTCAGAAACTAAAGAGCCAGATACATGATGGAGGGAGTGAAGACAGCGAGCAAAAGATCAAGGACCTGCAACAGCAGCTGCTGAGGCTGGCGAAAGAAGACGAAGAAAAGGACAAAGCGATCAGCACTCTCAAGAAGGAGCTTGATAAAAAGGATGTGAAACTGTCGGAGTACGGGAACGGGGGGACCCAGAACCAGCCATCTAAATCATGTACCATACTGTAAACTATGTGATCCAGAGACATGAGTAGCCAGCAGAACCAGCTCACATTTACCACCCTGCACATACAACATTACGTCATATCTGTGAGAGATGAGCTGACTTAGTGATGTTATAGCCTGTTTAAATGTTCCGTCCAAAACCCATTATTTTATTAATACAATATGTGTACAGTTTATTGTCAGAACTGGTGCCTGGCCTCCATCTGTATGATTCTTGTAGCTTATAATAGGCTTCAAGTGTTGCTTTTAATACTTGTAGATTGGCTGCAAGTCTTAATTTGAATACTTGTAGGTTGGCTTCAAGTGTTGCTTTGAATACTTGTAGGTTGGCTGCAAGTGTTACTTTTAATACTTGTAGGTTGGCTTCAAGTGTTACTTATAATACTTGTAGGTTGGCTCCAAGTGTTACTTTTAATACGTGTAGGTTGGCTGCAAGTGTTACTTTGAATACTTGTAGGTTGGCTCCAAGTGTTACTTTTAATACTTGTAGGTTGGCTGCAAGTGTTAATTTGAATACTTGTAGGTTGGCTCCAAGTGTTACTTTGAATACTTGTAGGTTGGCTCCAAGTGTTACTTTTAATACTTGTAGGTTGGCTGCAAGTGTTACTTTTAATACGTGTAGGTTGACTCCAAGTGTTACTTTTAATACTTGTAGGTTGGCTCCAAGTGTTACTTTTAATACTTGTAGGTTGGCTGCAAGTGTTACTTTTAATACTTGTAGGTTGGCTCCAAGTGTTACTTTTAATACTTGTAGGTTGGCTGCAAGTGTTACTTTTAATACTTGTAGGTTGGCTCCAAGTGTTAATTAAATTGAATTAAATTGAAGTGTGGAAATAAGAATTTCTTATGAAAGACATTTCAAGATTTCGACAGAAGTGAAGAGAACACGAGATTGTGATTATGTAATAGGTGGTGTATGTCAAGATACTACAATATGATTGGTTACAACGAATGGTTTGTATTACATGTGAGATTGCCATGGAGAAGTGTCATTACCGAATCCTTGGCTTGGTCCCACACACATCTGTTACTTAAAGTTAACTATTACTGTAGCTATTAAAGACTTATCTTTCACTTAATAACTGTAACTTCATTGATTAGGGATTTTACAGGCTAGCAGAGGTACAATTTTCTACAATAAGTGTGTCACCTGTTGCAGTCTCAAAAGATCAGCTTGTCAACCCCAAGGGGGTGATAACCCCACTTAAGTAATGGCCGACACAGTGATGGAACAAAAAGACTTCACGGTAACCACGTAGGACATCACAGTCGGAGGATATGTGCAAATGGGGAAAGGTAACAGATTACAAATGCTGAAAACCATTTTTAAAAATTGGAGAAAAAGAATTATCCACTACTTTCATGGTACATTTGTATCACAAATAAATCTCATTCCTGGGGTGACATTCTTAAATGTCCAACCCTTGGCTTGAAGCAAGTCTTAATTGGGTTACACAATCAAAACTATCACCCCTCTGACTGAGGTTTCCTCTGTCAACGGTACAGTAATGTATTTACTAATCTGACATTAATGACAAGGATTTTTTCCCCAAAAGTAGTATCAATTTAACAGAAACAAAAGATCGCTCACTCAGTCATAACTTGACAAAGGGACCTGAGTCAGTTTTGAAACGTTGTGACACACTTGATACGTACATTGTTTGTGTATATAGAAAAACTTTGTTATAACATATTTCCAAACTGATGAATCTTATTGTAAACAGAAGGTCCTTTTTCTGTAGCTGACATGTTTGTGTGTTAACAGATTGTTTGAATAAGGGTCTATTTCTTATATTTCAAAATTTTACTGATATAAAAAAAAATGTTAAGGTTAGAAATTTGTATGAAGGTGCTATTCTCAGATGAAGAGATTATATAGACGAGTCTGTAATAATTAAAGTTAATTGGTATATATGTTACCAGAACAATGTAAATGGTACATGTTTGCACATCCTCTTGAATGCCAAGAATGGAGACATGTAAATGTATTGGAAATAGTTTTTTGTGATTTCTTTGAGGAAAATTATAAGTGTTATTGGATTATGCTAATGATGAATGCTATTTTTTTAGCACAGGTTGTATTGTTTATGTCCTTATTACCTGCCCTGCACACCTGATCATTGGGGCCAATTCAAAATGGGCTCACCTTTCATTTTATGTCTGTTAGAGACAGTTAATAAACTTTATCTTTTACTTGTATGATACAATAAATAAACGGTGAAAAATGACTATGAATTTAACAAAGTAGATTATATTTGGAAAAAGGGCAAAAATTTAAGCTGGGCAAAATATATTACAGATCACAGGATATGATCGGAAAACATAAAATGATTTAGTGATACGAGGTTAGTGATACTTTAAAAAAAAAGTTTCATATTTCATTTTTTATTTTTTATTATTATTGAAGCACATTCCACATTGTATGATTTAGATGTGTGAATGGTTTAAACAGATGTAAATAACACGCATCCCCAATATTTCCAATATGAGATGTATTGTTATATGAAATGAAAAAGATATATTATTTTATTTCCACTATGATTTTATGTGATATGAAATGTACGTTTATTTATTTTTTAAGATTTGTTAACTCATTCCGTCCATGTCTTTACAGCATATTTGTACATGTATATACAATTATATGGGAAAATTAAATACTGACCAATCTGTTCTAGAGGAGGTGTGTTTGGGAAGTAAAGCTCTCCAGTCTAGATTTAGACAGTTTCCAATTTTAAATTTATAAAAAAAATTGAAGAAAATAAATAATAATAACCTTTTCATACCAAATTATGAATTGTTAAACTTGAAACACAGTGTGTAACAAACTCCGCATATCTCAGAAATATCGGAAGGTTGCTGGCAAATTAATATATAATATTTGATGTCAAACAATTGTACTTTACTGTTGAGTGCACGACTTTGGTAATGTTGATTTACATTACAAGGGAGATAACTATTGATTAAAATTCATGTCTTTTTTACAACTCACCCTATGTGTACATTATCACAATTTAAATCTATTTTTGGAAAGCCAGGTAACTTGAACTCAGGTCAGTTAAAACACACATTTCTATCTCAAATTTTAACAAATCATTCATCTACTTACTTTATAATCTTCTGTTTGATTGGATCATTTTATCAGAACCTAATGAGTTCAAGTTAGCTGGCTTTTACTCATACTGTTTAGCCTTTATAAAATATTTTATGAGAAAACTTTATTTTTCTTCAAAGTTTTTTAATCCGTCCAAATGTTGCTGTACTCTGTGAAATATTCATGTGAAAAACAAAGTTTTATTTGGCCACTGCCTCTGTCTGCACCCTAGAAGTTGTTTTATGTGGGTATACAGGTATTTATTGTGTACACAAGGTCCAACTCGTCAGCCATATCTGTGATATGTATACCTGTAGTTCTAAGTCAGATTTATCTTTAATTTATTCTTATTTTACTAACATTTTTTATCTTTTAATCAGATGGCTACTTATTTTCATCAGATCAAATATTAGATGATCTGACCAAATTCTTATCGGTGATATATATATCAATAATTACCTGTATGTTTATATTTTTATGGTAAATCTGGTTTATTAATAAAGATTTACCGTTATCTAGTTTAAGTAGAATTCAGGTGCAAGTCGGAGGGAATTCCAATACCTTCAATAGTTTCAGTGGGAAGATGGAAGTCTGGGGTATTTCCTCAAAAACCTCCAATAGAACACCAATTGGAGGGTTGAGATTGGGGGGGGGGGGGGGAAGAATTCTTCCACATTACTTTAACAAATTTCCAACAAATCTATTTTCCTGGTACTTTTATTAATGAAATCATTTTGTTTATTGTCATAAAAGGTGTTCACATAATGAAATGATTTATTTTAAATTGATTTGTAATGGTAAACTGTAAATTATCTGTGCTGGATTTCCCAATTGTACGTACACAATTAAAGCTGTACAAGGTATCATAAGGTAATATAATATGATAATCAGAGCCTGTGTCTTTAAATACACTACAGGTACTTATTTTTATGTAAATTATTTGTTTTCCAAATGACTTAAATTTTGAGATCATTTGTCATTTGGATTCCATATTGTTTTAAAACATATTGCTACACTTGAAAAACGTCAATAGAATCCCAAAATGGAAAGGAAAAAAAAAATTGAGGAAAACATGTAATTTTTCAGGAAATTGGAAAAACTCTTTCCTTATGGATATTCAAGGGAAGATTACTCTGCACCATGTTCAGAAAACCCATCTGTATTCTTTAATAAAATTGTATGAAAATATACAAATATATTTTTCCTAGTTCATGTTAAAGTCATTGAAATAGCTTAATAAGTTTCATTTCATTTCATGAAGATACTCCCCCTTGAAAGTATCGTTTCAAATATTTTTATTTTTATTTGATTTTTTTTTTTTTTTTTATATGGATGCATTTGTTAGAAATAAACAACATAAGGCATTATCATCAAGATTGGTACAAGGATACCTTCCGTGTCATCAAGTCCAAAAAGTGGATATGGTAAATTTGTATTACCTTGTTTACTTAAACAGCTCTTATCAATTCGAAAGTATTAAATCGATAAATTAGTGTTCTAATACAAGTCTGCATTGACACAGTTCATGTAACATTGTCTTAGGAAACGACATGTATCAAACACAATATAAACAGGACTTGATCTAATCAACATGTTTTATAACACACTGACTTTATGTGGACGACTTTTTAGAGAGAATAAATCAAATTATCAATTCTACATATTTTGTTTGTTATAATCAAGGACAATTTATTGTGTTACAATTCAACTTCTTTGCCTTTTGTATTCAAAAAGATTACCTGTTATGGATTAAACTGCAAATTATCAAAACATAAACAAACATCTGATGACCCAAAACATATGTACGATTTGGGTCTCTTCAATTAAAAGTGAGAAAAACGATCTTGCAACGCGCTTAAGTATCAAATGATGTTTTTATATAGTTACAAAATGTTTGTTCATGTGTTAATTTGCACTTCAATCCCTGTTAGGTAATCTTGTTTGGATGCAAGATGCAATAAAGTTGTGTTACATGTCCTGGAAATGTGTACCGGTTTGTGAGAACAGTTGGAGACACCTACCTGACATCTATATCAGTTTGTGAGACCTTTCCTGGAACAGTTTGTGAGAATGATTGTGAGACAATCCCTACATTAGTTTGTAAGAATGGTTGTGAGACATTCCCTGTATCAGTTAGTGAGAATGGTTGTAAGATAAGCCCTCTCAGTTTGTAAGAATGATTGTGAGACAACCCTTCTTTCAATTTCGAAGAATGATTGTGAGACAACCCCTGTGTAGTTTTGTGAAAATTGTTATGAGAAATCCCCTGTATCAATTTGTGAGAATGGTTGTGAGACAACCCCTGTATCAGCTGGTAAGAACTGTTTTGAGACATCCCCAATATCAGTTTGTGAGAATGATTGTGAGACAAATCCTGTGGTGTATTTGTGTGAGAATGGTTATGAGAAATCCCTTATATCAATTTGTGATAATGGTTGTGATCAGTTTGTAAGAATTATTATGAGACCATCCCTGTATTAGTTTGTAAGAATGATTATGAGACATCCGCTGTATCAGTATGTAAGGATACACTGTCTCAGTTCATAAGAATGTTAATAAAACACCCATGTATCTGACAGTGAGACCACACCTGCATCTGTTTGTTAGAATGGTTGTGAGACATCCCCCGTTTCAGTTTGTTATAATGGTTGTGAGATATATGCTGTATCCATTTATAAGATCCCATGGATCTGATTGTGAGACCACACCTATATTATTTTGAAAGGATGATTGTGAGATATCCCCTGGATTAGTTTGTTAAAATGGTTGTGAGATGTACACTGTAATTGTAAGACCACCCCTATATCACTTTGTAAGATTGGTTGTGAGACATCCCCTGTATTAGTTTGTAAGAAATACTGATAGATATGAAACAGTTCCTGTTTCTATTTGTGAAACCATTCTCATACCTGTTTTTGAGGAAGATTGTGAAATATCTTCCTTTTGCTGATTGCGTGACTAAACAAGTTGTGCTATTTATACCCACACTACATTTATATTGGTAGATGTATTTGTTTGTGAGAATCGTTGGGAGATATCTGCATCTAGTTTTGAGACATCCCCCGTATCTGTATATGAAAATGATTGGGATATACATAATGAATGTATATTCCTTCGTATTTTTTCAGTAAATCTGTATGTGAGAATGATTGGAAAACACATGTATACTATCTTGTTTATTTATTCTCCTTAGCTGTTTGTGAGAACATATTAACTGTATATGTGAGACATATCCCCTGTGTCTCTTTGTGAGATTGTGAGAGTGATTTGGAGACATTTCCGTTCCTGTTTTATGAGAATAAGAATGCAATACGTATCCCATATCACAGGGACCTGCTAATTTGTTACAGCTATATTTGGATCTACACGTTTTGGGGGTTTAGATCGATTTTTGGTAAAAAAAAAATACAGTGTCAGTCAGTTTTTGAGAGAGAGAAAATACTCCATGTGGGGTTTAATTGTAGTTCAGACGCATCAACTTATCAGACCACCTTAGTCCAGGGGAGATAACTCTAAAACTGTAATATCGACAATTAGGAGAACAGCGACGAGGTTAATTAATATATGAGCCCACAAACACTGCAGTGGTCAAACATAACTGACTATTTTCTCTTTAAATGTTTTTGACGGAACGGAGAAATCGATTAATTTCCAAAAATGGTTAACGAAATATATTCAGCTATGAAAAATTGTTCAGTATAAAAGTTTGAAAATCTCGTTGTCGACATTTTAATAACTTTTCCATCCGTGTATGAAAAGCATGTTGACATGGCCATACCAGAAATTAGTTTTTGAACTATTTCATACAATGTATATTACTGCTTTACATGAATGAGGTAGAGAACAAGAGTATAGTTTCTCTTGACAAATGAGACATGAATGGATCAACAACACGATAGGGATTGCATTTAACTTTACAATATGTAACCAAGTCAAACACTGTCACACAATAACCATTTCATTATAAACTTTATTGCGTTTCTTCGCCTTAACATTAAAAGTATTTAATTGAAAACAAAACCAAAACATATTCATAATGAAATGGACCGTACAAGGTATACATATAATTCATCTTCGCAAGTCTGCTTTTCTCAGTTCAAACTACCTTCCATCAAATCCACTAGATATAAAACCATCATAGATTCGAAGATGTTTTGGACGTTTCATAAACACCCACAAGTGCTTTAAAAACAAAAGACAAGTGCCAGAATTGTGAAAAATACAACCTCTGTCTAATTGTTACTCACATGGCTAATTAACGGAAATATAAAATGAATATACAGTACAGATTGGAGCAAGGTGAACGCTGAGAACCCCTAAATTTGAAAATATATATTTCCTATACACTGTACCATACAAAGAAACTAAATGCTAGCTCACTTACTGTCTGCCCAAATGGGATTTTTATGTTTATCGAAATTGCATTGCTTAAATGTGAACAAAATATAAGGGACCTGCAGATTTGTTACGCCAGCTATGATTGGACAAAAAGTTACGTGTTTAACCCTTCAAACGTATAATATAATATTATCTCTGAACACATCAATTTTCTGGTCCAAACATATACAGCTGCTGTAACAAATTCTCATGTCCCTGTGTTATATAACACGTGTACCATGTACACTACTTTATAAAAGATTGTTTGTTTGTTTGTATTTTACGTCCTACTACCAGCTATGGTCATTTAAGGAAGTGCCAGGTTTTGGTGGTGGAGGAAAACCGGAGTTCCCGGAGAAAAACCACCGACCTACGGCCAGTACCTGGCGATTCGCACGACTGCCCTACGTAAGTCTCGAACCCGCGGCCCATTGGCGGAGGGCTAGTGGTAGCAGAATGTCAGATATCTTAAGAAATATTTTCATTTAGCACAGTTTTTTATGATATATTTTGAATTAGTATATAGTTATTCTGAATTAGAACAACTTTTTTTTACCTAGAGTTGTCGTTCATTATACACCAAAGCCAAGGATATCATGACATTTATAGTTCCCTGAATGTACGTCAACTCGTACAGCATTTATCAGGACATGGCAACTTAAACAAAACAATCTTTCATCAGTGCATGCTAACCATTGCAAAGCAAACGATCATCAATACGTTTTATAAACATTTACAAGGATACCATATCCAGGGACAAAGTTAACGGGTTCGTTGGTGAAGGAAGTACACATGCCGTAACTGACGATCACGAAATACTTATCTCAATATCCTTTTACACTTGTAAATTCTACCACACGAAACTAATAATATGTCCTGTTTCAAAATCATCTTAACAGTAACATTAGTAAAAAACCTTCATCGAATGACCAGCCTGCACGTTTCGTTTAAGTGGTTGGCTATCAAAGTTCAGCAAATGCACGATGTACTCTTCGCGAACTTTCTATGTCCATGAAAAATGACCTCTGAAAAATGTATATTTGTTAAAAAAAACTAACAGGTTATTTTATAGATACCACACCACACCAAGACTTAATCCAGAGAGTTATTTGTACGATCATTTATTCCGCATTCAAAGTATCAAAATAGGCTCCAAGACTATGAACGATATGTGTTTTTCTCCAACTTTCTTTGTCCTTGAAAAGTGACCTCTTAAAAATATATCTTTGTAAAGAAAAACCCAACAACTAACATGTTATTTCAGCAACCACACCAATACTTATTCATTCCGGAATTAATGATCACAGTAGACGAATGAGGACTTCGTTGCTGATTCTGTTGTTTTTTAATCCCTAAGCTCCACATCAAAACTGTAATCTATGTGTATGTATTGACAGCATGAACAATTTAGCCAATTTTAGAATGATTAACATCGGTAGTTTCGGACTCTAGTTTTCATTATTTTGGCCCTGGCACATCCGTCATCCACAGCAAGAACATTTTTTGTTGAATTTCGATGTTCAGTACTATCTTGTAAGGCTGTCGGGCATTTCCAAGTTGTATATCTAGAAGGGTTGTAGGGAGATCTGTCGAGGCCACTTCTAAAAGGAAGTGTATAGTGAGATCTGTCTAGGACTGTTAAGTTTGGTTGTCTAGAAACATTAATTGCGATCTGAACAAAAATTGCATTTCTGAAGTCTGTCTTGAAATTTTTGTCGTGGTTTATCTAGAAATGTTTTTTGATGCATATCTAGAAGAGCTTTGTAAGGCCTTTCCACACCATCTTGCCTAGACCGATGACCGTGTTGAGGAGCTGGCTCCCGATGTTTGTTTCCCCTTTTTCCACCTCCTTCCGTACCACCTCCCTTGTATTATTCTCTGATGCAACGTGCTTTTTCTCGAGTTCCTTCAGTCGTCTTTCCTTGTCGTCGTTCTGTTCTCGTCTTGTTTTCGACACCTTCTGCTCCACGTTTTTTAACTTTTCTCGCAGCGATTTCACCTCAGCTTGCATCTTTCTGGCATTTCCCTCCATCCCTTCGATTCTGTTGCGCTCCCTCTTCAAGTCTGATAATCTGTTTTGCAAATGTCTGCTTACCTTGCCACCGGCTTGTCGTTCCTGATCTATCTTCTTATGGATCGATTTGATGTCTGCATCGATTTCCTCTGTCCGTATCCGCCTTTTACTGTCTTCTTGACCTGTTCTGGATTCCGTTTCTTGCAGTGCCCTTCTCAATTCATACTGCTGTTCCTCCTGTTTCTTCAGCTCATGCCCGTAGTGCCTCTCATTATCGTCTTCAAGTTCTTCACGTTCACGACGTCTGTTTACCTCTGCCATACTTCTTATTTCCGCTTCTCTCGTCCTTATAACATTCTCTGCCTCCATGTACATGGTGTTTGTGTAGTACCGACCATTGTTGTGCTTAAATAAATCTTCAACCATCTCCATCAGTTCGTCGACCTGGCGCGAAATCTCTCGTGCCGTTCCTTTGTTGTTGAACCCGACACACCGCCCACCACACCGCTCGAGGATGCTGACCAGCGATGATGGGATCCTCCTCAGATGGTCGTCGAGTGTCATGCGCTCGTCGTTAAGGTCGTCCATGCCAGTAAACAAGACTATCATGTATTTCTCCACCGATCTGCCAAAATGTTCAATGAAAAGTTCTACCGAGTCCCGCTCCTCGGCCGTGAAGCGCCCGATGCGGACGATGAGCAGGAAGGCATGTGGTCCGGGAGCCGTAATTCCTACACACTTGACGATCTCCTTAGTGGTATTGTCGTTGTCGACCTCTGTATCGAACACGCCTGGGGTGTCAACGACGTGGATCTCTTTACCGTTTCTCTGGACCACGCCTCGCCGACAAGATTGTGTAACGGAAGCTCCGGAAACCATTGACCGAAAAAAATCGCCGCTCAAAATACTGTTCCCTGTCGCACTTTTTCCACATCCGGTCTTGCCCAGTAGAACCAGTCGTCGTTCTCTGCTATCGACACAGTCTTCATACATCGGTTTATGGATTTGTCTTCTCCTTGATCGTGGAGACTGGTGTCTACCGGCCAGCGATTCTGGAAAACAATGGAACGTTTATATGTCAATAAACAATTAACTTAAGCCTAATATGATGTTTTTTTGTCATATTATTATAGGACGCATCAGAAGAAACGTGTAATTTGTTCTAAGATAGAAGCACCCTTGAAACACGTACATGTTAGACTGCTGTATTGGTGAGTTATATTATCTAAAAAAAGGTTCATGTTATAAAAAGGTCCGGAAAGTTATATGATGTAAAATGTGAAGGAAAAGTTGACCACGGACGTCATTACACGGCATAGACTTAATTGGTCCTTCCAAAAAGAAGCTTAAAAATAGACACATTTGACTATTTTATAGTAAATCCCGGTTGACAGTTTATAGTCCTATGAACACCGACTGGCTTTGATAGGGATAGTATATAGTAGCGATTCACATTCAATGCTAACTTCATATCACAAAACATGTGTAGCCAAAAGTCTGATAAGGAAATTGGCTCAGAAACCCTTCTTACACCTTTTATTTACATACTAAGTCATTAGTGTGGGTCAAAACTGTGTTAATTCAACAATGTAAGCTTACGTCTGCCGTCCCGTGGTCGTCCTCTGCTCCTGTCGTAGCCAGTACCACGTGTTGAAGGCCGGTCACGTGGTTTGTCATAAGATGAAGTTACGTCATTTCTGACGGGTGGTGGAGAGGACCTTTTTGGATGCGAGTATCCATTCCTGTCAACACGTGCTGGTCCGGAGGGACATGTCACCGGTTCATTCGAACGCGACCCTCTCCGACACATCTTACACTTTGGGGAGCTGGCGGTATTGAAGTACGTACATTCTTTACACTTCCACTTGGCCCCGGCCTGGTCGTCTGTGAAAAAAAACATGAAACAGTTATAAATCAGACATGTGTTTATTTATCATACGTGGGTGTTGTAACCCCCCTTACAACATTAAAAAACTCTTGTAATACATTTAATTGAAGAAATATCTACGTAGAACCTAGTATTCAACGTCTAGATCTGTATCGGTCACGTAACAGTACTAGTACTATATATATATATATATATATATATATATATATATAACAGCTTGTTGTTCAAATGGATAAACGCTATTTTCGCTTATGAAGAATTTTGATCCATTTCCAATATGCAAATATAGGCCTGCATCGAATTCCATCCATTGCAGAGCATGCCGAGTCGTTACCATAGCTACCCCTGATTAAGCGACGATGTATAATTGTCCGTAAAATATGCTCGAAACCCCAAAAGGCTGATGGTGAAGATACTGAGTATGTGTACATGTAATTTATATATTATATAAATATGACATTCATTAGCAGGTGACAGTGAATATTGTAAACCCTCAAACACCCATTGTCCCCCTCGGCTTCGCCTGGGGTGACAATGGTTTTCTCGGGTTCACAATATTCCCTGTCACCTGCTAATGAATGTCATATCTATTTTGTTACACCAAAAGTCTTTGTAGCTCAGAAATGGCAGCAAACCTCGATAATGACATCTTGTTTGTTGATAGTCTGCTGTTTACAATCACTATCGCATCGGCGCTTGATAAAATTGGTTCTTGCCGTCAAACGTTCTTGTGACCATCACGGTGGGGAAACAAAGCGGTGAACGCACATTTTTCGCGCATGTGATATTTTTCACTGTCTCATGGCAATATCACCCGCGCCCCTTAAAACCAATGTATTTTCGGAGGGTGACAGAGATTTTTGTTTAATTTTCTCCCAACCAATCAAATAGCTAGAAATTCACTTGAGGTGTAACAAAACCAATTATCTCCGCTACCTAGGAGTCAAACCCGGATCCACAGTCGAACCCGAAACAACAGACCCCAAGTCCAGTGGTCTACCCATAGGTGGTGGGCACGTCTATCAAAAAAAAAAAAAAACTAGTTTTATATATATATTTTTTTTTTTTTTTTGATAGACGTGCCCACCACCTATGGTCTACCAATTGAGTGTCGTGGACTTTCCTATTAGCCAGGTAAGTAACACTCGATTATAGGGGTTCACCATTGTGACTCACATACACGTGTTCTTACCTCGATTTCGAGTCCTCAGGGATAGTATCATACTTGTGGGAGAACATCATACACGCTACCCATATCCCTACGCTGTTACCTTCCCAAGTGATCTACAGATAACTCAGTATAGTCAAGGGCTTACCAAGTGAGTCCGCTTCGAATCGAGAGTCGAACCCGTCACTACAGATTACACCTCTTGTGCTCTACTGAATGCATCGAAGGGAACCACTATGTGGTCGACCGTCTGGACACAGGTATTACAGAAATGGGTTCGTAGTGTAGTAGTTATTACAATTCTCACCAAATAGGGCTAGTGTTCCTTATGTTACTCTCCGAAATAAAGGAAAGGAACCCTGGGAAAAATTGGTTTTAGTCTAGACCTACCATATCCGTCACGTGGTCCATTTCCGCATTGCGGGTTTTCTCTCCGACCCACGCTTTCCCAGTCGTACTTCGCCCTATTTTCTCCCAGTCCACCACTTGACTTCCTGGGTTGGTTATGCCCACCGCCCTTTATGTGTTGGCGTTTGTGACCACATACGTCGCAGTTGACGTCACGTTCACCGTTGATGCCTTGACAGTTGCTACATTCCCAGTTATGTCTGGAAGCTGATCAGACAGTGTCATGTATAATTTTCTTGTATTTCGTTATAAAAAAAATCAAATATCACACTTTTTTTTCGAACAAGATTTTAAATTACATTATATAACATTATATCGCCATTCTTTTGCAATGAGTACGGATCATGTTCTAATCTGCGATAGAACAACGACCCAATCGCGTTAATTCTTTATCTTGTCTCAAGAAAATTACTCTAAGGACGGCTAAACATTCAAGGAAAGACCTATACACATACAAATAATGTACTCATTGAGTTTTTGTGGGATTATTTACATGGTTGGACCGATAGTTATACATTGGAGAAGGAACTTAAAAACGAATTGTCAATTAATTGCTGTTTTTTTACGGTACATTAATCATAATGATGATTACAATTATATATAAAATGGTATATGATAAATGATATAAGCTATTATAGGTGTAAATTTACTTACCCATGGTAATACAGAACCAAGTCAGTTGGTGATAATAATTATGGCTGTGTGTCAATATCACCACAGAGGATCACCGCCGTGCGTTGAATAATGGAGCAACATCTAAGTCGATAAGGGCTACTTCCGGGCATGTGTCATCGTAAGTTAAATATTTCCTTGTTTTGCCTGGTATTAAGTAATTGTACACAAAGAATCCATATTTATCAACGTAAAAAAATCCTGTTGGGGAAATTATATACGTGGTTACTCACTTCACAACAAACTGTAAGTAAAAACACTTGGGTCAAACTATTATGAAAAGGAATTCGAGCTCTATAACTGAAATTATATATATCTATAAGTTACAAGATACAGTCATGATTAAAATTTCGTAATAATATAGACTCCGATGAACTTTCCTAAAGGATGAGTGTCTATAAGGCACCTCCTAAATATGTTCGAAGATGTCCTATTGTATTAAATGCGCAAAAAATAAGGCGAAAGTTTAACCGAAAGTGGGGTTTTGGGGTACCAAAATGGGTAGAGTAAATCACAAGAATAATTTGCTGTTTTCAAAATGAGTTAAAACAACCAAAATAATACCATTTCTGTGTTTGAAAAAATGTGTGTCAATTAAACAGGCATGTCTAAAAGGCTGAAAAATGACAGAAATTCAATCGTCACTTTAAGGTAATAGGATTGTCGCCATTTCTCAGTAGAATTTATTCAAATTTTGTAGATATATTGCTTTGAAGTAAAGAACATTTTCTGCCACAAAAAAAATATATAGATAGTTGTGATACTGTCTCCCTACATTGGATTTTCAACTAGGGATGTACTTCCTATTTCCGTTTAGCAATACACTCCTATGACCTTAAGATTGTTTATATAAAACGGACGATGACGTTTGGTTTGGTTTGTTTGTGTTTTAAGTCGTATTAACAGCTATGGTCATTTAAAGACGTTTTGGTTTTGGTGGTGGTGGAGGAAAGGCGAAGTTCCCGGAGAAAAACCACAGACCTACTGCCAGTACCTGGTCTCGAACCCGCTAGCCAATGGTGGAGGGCTAGTGGTAGCAGAATGTCAGACGCCTTAACCACTTGGCCACCGCGGCCCTTCGGAAGATTAGGTCAGGGGGTTCTTTAATCTAATTTTAAGATGAAAAGGCGTTTTGTTTTCTCAATTATTTCCTTTCAAATCTATATTTGGAATTGAAATTTACAATTTTTATCATTTGAGTATACTTAAATAAAATACATAGTAACTACACACTTTCCTTTTTGTTACACAACACACGGAACGACACATGAGGACGTTTTACATTTTGTTTTGTACTGAGTTATGGCTTCTGGACACATTTCAAATTTGGCCATTTCAAATATCTCTCATTCTTAAGTAATTTATAAGGTGCCGGACGCCCTTTATATGCTATAAGTACAAGCTATCAATAATTAATATTGTATATTATATATACGATCATATAATATGTGCTCAACACCTGTGGCTTAAGTCAGTTCCAGATCCTGATTTGTTTTCTTACAACTTGTAACTGTTTTAATCGTAACAGTTAACCCATTTCATTGTGTTCATCAATTGTTCTGCCTATTCCCATTGTTTATGCGCTGATTGTACATAAAAGGCATGTTGGGATAAGCATGCAGCTTGGCATAGACATTAGTTATTTGATGATATTTAATTTATGAAAATTTCATACTTATCCCATAATGCCTGTTTAATTAAAAAACACGTTTTCTTGTGTTTTAGAATACGAGAATTAAAGTGCATCTCCTTGCTCGTCACCAAATATTAAATATTGCAGTTTCATTAATGACAAAAAATGCTAACAAGTGATATAGGTCAGTCTAGCATGTCATACGCACCTCTGACTACTATTAATGGCACGGTAGTCTAGTGGTAGGACACCGGGCTCGCGATCGAAAGGTTGCGGGTTCGAGTCACGACACAGCACTGTGTTGTATCTTTGAGCAAGATACTTTACGCCGCTTGTTCCAGTCTACTCAGCTGTAAATGAGTACTTGCTTCGGCAGTACTAGAATTGTTGAATGCTAGTTGTGAACGCCGAAATGGCAGCACCGGCTGTATGCTCCCCAGGGAGGTATTGGATGGTGCAAAGGTCCCATAAGACGGATAATAATTTGTGAACCGCTTTGAGACGACCTACGAACTAGGTTGTGATAAAGCGGTATATATAAGAACCTCGAATTATTATTTATTATTTATATACACTCTACTAAGCCTGTTTAATCTACATACATTCATATAGACTGGTTTTATATATTTGGTGATGGCTTTAGTGACGGCCTTTAGTGTTTTGTATTGTAAAGACCGCCATGGTAGCGGAGATTTACATCTTTGGGCCGCTTTCGTTTATCGCAATCCAAACGGTTGAACCGGTCGGACCAGAGTTATTCGTTCATGAAATATGGTCGTACCCAGTAATTCGATGCTGCTGTAAGGCGAGCCTTGACAGAGTCTTGCAAAGCATGCATACACTTTTTGCATGTTCGCCAGGATTTATACCTGAAAATGTTACATTTAAAAACATAGGAATCGGTTGTTCCGCATAAAGGAACAGACCCTAGCTAGATCATCGCACAAATGGTGACTGGGATGTCTTGTGATGCATCATTCCACCGTGGAAGTATCTATTACTTAGTAAGTTTTCTTTGCATCCGAACACGGAAATACTCTTCCACTGCCCTCCACAATAAGAATGTCAATGGGTTTAACAAAATGTGGTGTGGGTATCCCGGTATTACTCCAAGAACTTTCCTTGTACATGAAAACCATTTGGACTTTTCCTCGACCGGTTCTGAAGCTGCGCTACCTTTAGGTGGTGATTGTGCTTCTCCTCTAAGAAATTCCTGATTTACATCAAACCAGTCATGATGTTTCCTTGTAATGTGACCAAACTGTTCCAGAAGACATAGAACACAATTGGTCTCGAATCTGAGGTCAGATAGCTTGATGTTGAGATGTCACTGTCGAAGTTTTCGTCTGTCGTATTTTCTACTTTCAGTCTTGAAGTGTTCATACTCTAATAAGGATGATTTTCTGTTGTGGTCGGCGCTCATGTTTGCTGTGAAGGTCGTCTTCGGGACAAGTAATCGGTCATCAATCCAACATTCTGCACCAAACAAGTAATCCTTGATATGATGTAGCCCCCAAAATGCCAATGTGTGAACTGATGATATCCAGGAGTCTTCAAACGACTGACTAGACGGTAATTGTGTTTGTAAATATAAGGTCAAGTAAATATTAGGTCAAGACAGCTGCTACCTTGCAGAAGTAGACCACTGCTGTTGCATTGTTCATTACCGGTTTTGCTAAAACAGAATTTTTGGTGATCAGATCCTACTCTGGCATTGCAGTCACCAGTGACAATACGTTTGTCTGTTTTGTACACGCTTGTTATAAGAGAATCAAGCTCTTCATATACTTTGTCTTTATTACTTCGGGATTTGTCATATAAGGACCATAAGCACTTGGCAGATACCGTTTGGGCTTGTGTAGTTCTTTCACTAAATTTGTCATTACGGCAAAATCCTGTTCCTGTTTCACGACGTTCTTCTGTTTTGCGGCAAGCAATGTCTCTCGCCACTAGCGCAGTTTGTCTGTCTGGTAGCTCAGCTTTGGAGTTATCAAGAAGAGTATGATTATTCTATTTATGTTATAATTTACCAGTTCAAACGAACATAAGTTATTAATCAAATAAAACACATCACACTGTGCTCAGAATACAGCTTACTGCAGCTGGCGTTATATTGGGCACTCACTGTTACAATAAAACGGACACATGCAAGACATAATCAAGTCCGTTAACAGGCGCGTAGTTACCATGTAAGCCAATAAGCCCGGGCTTGTACATGATTTTGACAAGTATAGGTTTTCATGACGTTATTTTTTCTTGCTGATACTATAAAGTGGAGTTTAAGTTTTGAATATATAGTATACATATGTAATTCCTCAGATATGATACATTGTTAATAGTTAGTACAAAAATGTATGAAGTTTAGAAATGTCCATTGCATTAATGGACAGTTCCAGGCGGAACTAAACTGCTCGATTGAGTAAATTGAGAAACTCACGCCTGGCGCAAACGACTCCGAGTATGGCACAGTGGACACAGACAATCAGTGGTTTTTTTTTATGAAAATATCAATTTGGGGCACGTTCGGCCCCTTTTGCCGGGGCACATTCGGCCACCCCGAATGCAACTGTTATTGTGCCAAGTGACGTCACTATTGATAACGTCACCCAATTGACCACAAAAATAATATTTTTACGTCGCAAAAATTAAGTATTTTTTTCTTTGTATTCACTGATTTGTTCTGGACTTATTTTCCAACAGAATTGAATGAAATTCCATACACTTATTAGTAAATTGTCTTCTCTATCCTTCATGCCATACTTGCCCTGGTAGGGGCCGGATTTACCTCAGGGCGGGGCTCGTCCGGCCCCCAACTCTCTCGACCTAAAAAGTCCAATAATTCCCAAAATATGTTCTTGTTTACGATTTGATTTTAGTTTATGAAAGACAATACATTTCTTTTCTAAATGACATATATAAATATGCATTTCAACAGGATAGTACATGCCTTCCATAACGTCTTGAAAAAAGAAAAGGGGCCGTGTTTGCCCCGGTCCCCCCTACACATGTATTATACATGTGTAGGGGGGCCCCTTTTTTAAAACTATATTATAGTTTACAACATATCATTATCTCAGACATCAGGACGTGGGAAATGGCTCCTGAGACGTTCTAGAAAACAAAATTTGCATGGGGAGACCCCCAAGACCCCCCTTACGGGAGGGGGAAAACCACTCCCGTACCCCCGCCCCCCCCTCCCCCTGCTCGCACTATGCTTCCATCCATTTTTGGAGGAGGAATTCCACATCCCTTTGATATGCGTGTTAATAAAACTATGTTGCTTTGATTTGTTTACTGTGCAAATTATAGCGGAGTTACAGAAATGTGGATTTTAGAGCGTAGAATGATACAGAATTGTAATTATTATAAATACGAGTTACCTCCCATTCACCAGCCCCTAGCTTTAAATATTGGAAACCCGATACAGCGGGGTAATCCTGGAATTTGAGTGCAGTTGGATATCTCAGCAATTTTTAGTCAATATCAAAATTAAGAGAGTCATTCTATGTAAAATTAAAAGATAATTTGTACATGGAGGGGTCACCCTGGACATCTCCTGTTGAACGATCAGCAGTAAGCACAAACTTGCTGCGTTTAAGCTAAACCGTCATACAGTTCACATCATATTTATTATTTACATTCGTTTTATATGTAAGTTTTGACACTTTTTGGTAATTTTAGTCATTTAATAATTAAAAATTCTTTGGAACAATAATGTTCCTTGTTTAGAAATGTGCAAATGGCCTCGTACCATTTTTTGGGAGAAATATTTTCATTCCGACAGTAAATGAGCAAAATTTAGTTTATGCGCAACATATAGGCAGATCAAAACTGAAGTTAGAATTCCATTTAAAAGATATATTTGACCAATTTTGTTTTAGAATAGATACCATAACTTGTATACCAAAGTTAAACGCATATATTGTTTCATTACATAAAAAATGATGTTCTACAAACTAAATAGGATCAAACCAACTTCCTTCTTCAAAGAGTGTTGAACTTTGGGTAGAGTAACAAGCAAGTGTCACTGAAACAATTGTCCAATATAACTGACTGTCTATTTTATTTCCGCCTCATCTAACTGAACAATTTCAAAAAGAAGATATTCAGTCGTTTTGGACTACTTGAAAAGTAACGCACAATAGAACGAAGATGGTTGGGAATGTCATAGGTATACTGTATACGGTATACATAGCGGCGGGAACCGTAGCTTCTATGTCCGATTTTTGATTTATTTTTTAATTTAAAATTAAAATTGAAAAAATCGGACATAGAAGCTACGGTTCCCGCAGCTAACTGTATACACAGCTTTTGTCAAATGTATTACCACTAATACAAGCATACTTTAAATTACATATATACAGCGATGTTGCATAACTCATCCACGTTACGTCATTTTCCCATTGAATTCTATTTTAATTTACTTTTGGAAACTAAATTTTCCTGACTTCGTTTTTAGTCAAAAATTGATGAAATTCAGCACAAAGTTAGAGAATTATCTAGCGCGGCTCCTCTTTGTGATATTCATATCATTATCCATTTGATAGAATTCTAACCATGATTGGTTACTTTGCAAAAACATATTCTATCGCAAAATTTTATCATTGTGCCTATGGGGAAGATGTCAAAGTACAACTTTTATGCTGGGATGAAAATTGATATCTCAACAACTGAGCCACGGATAATATAAATATTACCAGAGGACACTTGGTGGATAACTCTCAAACGGGATGTAAAGCTTTATCAGAATTAGATATCAAACAAAGTCACGCAAGCATTACTGGAAAAAATAATGTAAGTAAATTAACATAAAATCCAATGGAAAAAAACTCTGCCACTCTGTTTCACTTTTTCCGGATCTCTACCAGATCCGCTTTCTTCCGGTTATACTTACAACGTCCCTACGCGTTATCAAGTTTAGTGACCTTGCTGAAACTAGATTAGTTCGACATTCTCTCAATCATGGAACAACAGGCACAAGCAACAAGCGGAAGAATCGTCGTTTTGGCTGTGGACGGAAGTGATCCTGCCAAAAAGTCATTCGACTGTAAGTTGACAACATCATGGCGTAAAGTGATAACTGATTTTTTTTAATTTTGTTGCCGTTTTTAGTTTATGACTGACTGTATCGCTATTTGGGTCTTTAATTCCATTCCCTGATCAATATATTCAAGGACACTAAGTTTCAGTGTAAATGTAACTTGCGTTACCTGTGAGGACGCTAGCTGTGGGAAAGGTTGGGGGAAGTGGGCGGGGCGTTTGAGTAGCCGCTGGTAGCCACTCGGACACTCCTTACCTATACTACCTGGGTTTGGATCCTTTGATGACGCCAGCGCGCGGCAGCGGGCAAGGTTATTGATCTTGTTAGAGGTACACGGACCCAGCGACTGAAAGTCTAACAAGAACAATAATACTAGTAGTTGCGTGCACCTGTGTTCACAGGTGTTAAAAACTCTTACTGAAAATTGAGATATAATATATCATATAAAAAGATACAACTTTTTTGTAGTAATACCTTTATTTCATTATATGATATATCTCTAAATTTACAGTAAGAATCTATGATATTCTATGTGTGCGATTACCTTTTCTCATCCTAGGTTGAGAACTTTGTGAAATTTATCCATTTATTTAAGGTTTAACTTCTTCAAATTCGTCAATATATTCCAAAAAGTAGAAAACTTAAGTTAGTTTTCATACAATGTAGCTATTCCTGACTTTCCTGTTCGATATAAATAAATAATTGGTAATATAATAGAAAATATCCTAGCTTTGATATATATGATCAATCTTTGTTATGTCTTAATAACTAAGGTTTTATGTATGGACTTTCTAAGCAAATAAGTAGACTCTTTGATAATCAAATGGATACCATGATTTATAAACAGTGTATGCATCTTTGAATCCACACAGACCTTTGACCAGAAACGACAACATATTCTATTTAGGGGCTGTATTTGTTAAATCTGATTGCTTAAAGTGATGCATCTCGTTAATTTGTAGTAATTGTACTTAAATGTCATATAAAGAATAATAAGGTCAAACAAACAAAAAACTATGTGTGTTTCCTGTAACAAAAGAACTGAAAAAAAATAGGGTAGGCAATAAGGTAGGTAACAACTTTTATTTTAAAGATAATTTTATGCGGTTTATAAATAGGAAAGTGACCTTGACTTTCACAACTTCTGTAGGTACAAAAAGTTGATTGCGAAACACCAAATATATTTTGTTTGGCCTTTGTTATATTATCACATGCTGATTTACACCTCATCAACAGATGCAATAACTGCAAACAATTGGGAGCTCATGAATAACAAAATACTTGTCATTTGAATGCAGAGAAAGACTGAAACACTTGAGAAACGTAATTTTCACACTTGGCTTGCAGTCTCTGCTTCATACTTACCATTTTGAAATTTTATCATACTCTTCAACTCAATTAATTTTATAAGTATTTGGAAAGAATTTGAAAGAATATAAGCAAAAAAAAGTCGTTTTTTTGTCATAGGTTAAATTTACTCCATTGAGGAGAAAAATGTATTGATCAAACCCTTGATACTGATATATTTGTGTCCAAAGATACATCTTAATTATTAAAAAGTTTTTTTTTTAAAAAGGTTTTGATGCGTTTCACATTGTCATCTTAAGGTGTGTTACAACAAACATCGAATCAATACACAAACTTTTAGTTGTTTTGATCTTGCTCATAAGTTGTTACAGATGGGGTTGCTGTTTTATTTTGAGAGATCGCTTCTAATATCTTAAAATGCCATGCTCATTTTATGTGCCTCTTGTAGACAGTGAACTGTCGTTTAACTAGGATAGCTCATGAGTTGGATGTAACTACACTGGTAATTTTACGATTTAAGTATAAAAGTTGATGTGAATGGGCACTCTAATCCCGTCCTGTACAGTCATGCATGTCCATGCTTTATGGGGTCGATCAATACAAATAGTTACCAGGCATACAAAATAATTGTGAAAGAAACTGGATTCTTTTTGAGAAATTGAATGTTGCTCTTTTGTGATTTTAATCCTGAGGAGTTGTGCATTTCTTCGAGTTCTAGCCCAGAATTGTTCAACATTCTGTTAAAAATTTCAAATGTTGATCAAATTAATATTTCTTGTGTAATAGGCATCTCCTGTGTAAAATAACATTTTGAAATATGGAGTTTTAACAAATTAAACAACGTTCAAATTCTTGATCTCCAGCTCAAGAGTGAAGACTGCTTTAACTTTGGTTCGGTTGGCTGAAACTGTGTTGAATCACTACACTAGAATGTTAATTAGCACTTGAGTTTCCTCGTGGCTGGAGCTCACTAAAAATGCTTTTTGTCTGAGCTGGGTGACCTTAACAATTTGTACGTGACTATTTAATCTCTGTGAAGGGCGAGGAGAGCGGAGAGCGCTCAACAGTACAGTAGATAAATGTTTTAAGGCTCCTCATCTGCTATATGTGACAGATGTGTGTAAATCATACCGTGTGCTGACATTAGATGTGTCATTTATTCTAACCAAAAGTAGGCTATCAGGTACATATGTGTATAGACATTAACATCTTCACTATCTGTGTGACAACATGTGAAGATGTGGTGTGTGTGTTGGGACGGGGGAACAGACCCCTATAATTTTCAGCTTTGCAGGGACATTGGAGCACAAGAAAATTAAGCCCCCACCTCCTTTCTGCAGGCTAAAGCCATGTATTCGAGGTGCTAGCAGAATAAGTCACCATTCCATCATAGCTTGTATATATATATATTCACACACATGTATATATGTGTATTACAGTATATATTGTACATTTCATAATACAATATGTATTTAAACAGAATGTGTCTTGCTAAAATGAAATAAAGACTTTTGGTTTGATTGTGTTTTACGTCCTATTAACACCTATGGTCATTTAAGGTTGTGCCAGGTTTTGGGGGTGGATGAAAGCCAGAGTTCCTGGAGGAAAGCCGGAGTTCTCGGAGAAAAAAACATCGACCTACGACCTAAAGACAATCGTTTTTATTGCAAACATACTAAAAATATTCACAAAAAACAATGATCGGGCTATGATGATATTATTTCTGATTTCTCTCTGAAAATGACCATGGAATTGTGATCAAGAAGTAATCAATATTGAACCTCTGATTCCTCTGGCTCTGTTCTGACGGAACCTATTTGTTTGTAAATTATAGAAATGGCAATTTCGAGAGAAAAAGGCTTGTGTGTACGGTAGGGATACAGATATAACCCCAAGCTTGGTAAATTATCGATTTGCATCCTAGTCCCCTGATTTCTTGCTCTGCATTTTCCCTAAAAAAATCAATAATCCATCAATTATTTCCGTAGAATTACAGGGAAGCGATAAGATTACATCAGATTCGTAGAGAACTATCTATTGGTGTTTCAGTCTTTTCCCAGTCTTCAACAATCGTAATCTCCAAGATACAATCGCTAGCCTTTTAGTACATTTTTGAAAGGAAATACATATATATAAATTCATTAAGAATGTATTGTAGCAAAGCTGTTAAAACAATGTATGTATATTACATTTGTTGTAAATGACAAGAGTTTGCATGGGTTTATTTTCAATACAATGAACGTAGGCAGATAATTTCCATACATTTCATTATCCCTCATTTATATTTTTTCTTATTATCTGTAACTATATTTACTGGCTACAAATGAAATGAAACCCCTTGGTTTGTGTAACTTACCAATGAATTAGTAAAATGTTTTTCCCTGATAGATGACTTCTTCTTAATTCTAATATATATGTAAACATTTTACAAATAATTAATTATGCTAAGTGTTTTTAGGTCACCTGAGCGTTAACTCAAGTGACCTATTGCTATCCGTCTTCGTGCGTCGTCCGTTAACATTTTACATTTTCAACTCAAGCTGAAATACTGGCAAAGGGATTTCATTAATATTTCATGGGAAGGTTACAGACATCTCCCTGACCAAGTGTTGTTATTTTTCGGGTCGATCAGAAATCCAATATGGCTGCCATTTTGAAAAACTATTTCAAACTTAAAGTCAAGGTCTGCTGGGCCAATTGAACTGAAACTTGGTAGGAATAATCGACTTATGGTCCTGACAAATTGTTGTTATTTTTCATGTCAATCAGAAATCCAATATGGCTGCCACAGCCGCCATTTTGAAAAACTATTTCAAAGTTAAAGTCAAGTTCTGCTAGGCCGATTGAACTGAAACTTTGTAGGAATGATCGACTCATGGTCCTGACAAAGTGTTGTTATTTTTCCGGTCGATCAGAAATCCAATATGGCCGTCACAGCCGCCATTTTGAAAAACTATTTCAAACTTACTCATGGTCCTGACAAAGTGTTGTTGGTTTTTTGGGTAGATCAGAAATCCAATATGGCCGCCACGGCCGCCATTTTGAAAAACTATTTCAAACTTGCTCATGGTCCTGACAAAGTGTTGTTGGTTTTTTGGGTAGCTCAGAAATCCAATATGGCCGCCACGGCCGCCATTTTGAAAAATTATTTCAAACTTAAAGTCAAGTTCTGCTAGGCCGATTGAACTGAAACTTTGTAAGGAATGATCGACTCATGGTCCTGACAAAGTTTTGTTATTTTGCGGGTCTATCAGAAATTCAAAATGGCTGACACGGCCGCCATTTTGAAAAACTATTTCAAACTGAAAGTCAAGTTCTGCTTGGCCGATTGAACTGAAACTTTATAGGAATGATCGACTCATGGTCCTGACAAAGTTTTGTTGGTTTTTCGGGTCGATCAGAAACACAATTTGGCTGCCATGGCCACTATTTTGAAAATACCTATTTCATACTTAAAAACAAGTTCTAATAGGCCGATCTAACTGAAAATCGGTCTAGGAAAGATCAGCTAATGGTCCTGACAAACTTAAGTTAACGTTATACTTAACAATCTTTTACTCAAATTGGTACATATTTCAACAACAAAAATAAATATTGTAGGACTTAGGTGACCGTTAAGGCCCATGGGCCTCTTGTTAGTCTTCCTGTGGCAATTCGGAAGTTTTAGCTCAGAACTCTTTTTAAGTATTTTTTGAGAA